TCCGTGTGTCAATTTTCTCATTTGCAAAGTAGGACAATAAATACCACCTTCCTTCTCTCTCCTGGGTGATGTTATTATCACCACCAATTAATATTTATTGGATGCCTGTTTGTCGAATAATACTGAGGTAAGAACTTTGTTCTGGGGCATGGAGTGGGAGGCCAGAGGAGATCATAGGAGTGAAACATTTTCTGTGAGCAAGAAAAGTAGAAGATTTACAAAAGACAGCATTGTTAGAGCTTAAAATATCAGTTAGGGCTGATTTTTAAAGCACACTTCATGGCCAAGCTTTATGTAACTGCACCAGGATAATGATGATGCAGAATATTGGTTTTGCTCTTTGAGGATGCTAGATAACACTATCTTAAGAATTAGTGTGTTTTCTTTTTTGGCGATAAATTACATCTAAACATAATTTAGAAATATTTATTAGGGGATTTCTGCCAAGATGGACATGTAGGTGCAAGCACTGTACCTTCTTGCAAAACCAAGTTTAAAAACAATAAAGTTTTAGCAACAAAAACACAGCCAAACCACAGAAAATTGAACTATACAGAAGTCTGACAACAACGAACCCTTCAGCCAAACTGGTAAGAGGGGCAGAGCCAGCAGCAGAGTGGGGTCAGGCAGGAAAGAACCACCAGACCCACCCGGATGCGCAACCCAGGTGCGCAGCAGCTGTGGGTGAATCCCAGGCGTGGAGTAGCAGGCGGACCCACTGATGGCGCAAGGTGGTGGACCCACTGAGGGAGGACCACAGTCACACATTCGAGCGCAGATAAACCGGCAAAGGAGCTAGCAGTGAGATGGATCACGCAGGCTCCAGCAGTGAGAAGCGGCAGAGGGGACCGCTATTGTCCCTCTCTGACCCCACCCCCACATATAGCATCACAAACCAGTGACCTAGGTGGCCCTGCCCTGGTGAACACCTCTTCATACGTAAAAGACAGGAACAGATCAAAACATGGCTCAAGAAAAACTCAGAGCCCCAGAGCCCATAAATCTAAGTGATGAAGAAATAGCCAGACTTTCAGATGCATAGTTCAAAACACTGGTGATCAGGATGCTCACAGAACTGGTTGGTTTTAGTCACAAATTACAGGAACATATGAAGGCTAAACTAATTGAAATGAATGGAAATGCACAGGAAACCAATAGTAATGGAAAGGAAACTGGGACTCAAATCAATGGAGTGGACCAGAAGGAGGGAAAAAATGACCAAACAGAAAAGGATGAAGAAACAAGAATTCAAAAAAGGTGGAGAGGCTTAGGAACCTCCAGGACATCTTTAAATGCTCCAACATCCGAATTATAGGGGTACCAGAAGGGGAAGAGGAACAGCCATGAGTGGAAAACTTACTTGAACAAATAATAAAGGAGAACTTCCCCAATCTGGCAAAGGAAATAGACTTCCAGAAAATCCAGGAAGCTCAGAGAGTCCCAAAGAAGTTGGACCCAAGAAGGAACACACCAAGGCACATCATCATTACATTAGCCAAGATTAAAATGAAGGAGAGAATTCTAGAAGCAGCAAGAGATAAGGGGACAGTCACCTACAAAGGAGTTCCCATCAGACTGTCAGCAGATTTCTCAAAAGAGACCTTACAGGCAAGAAGGGGCTGGAAAGAGGTATTCCAAGTCATGAAATCCAAAGACCTCCAACCAAGATTGCTCTATCCAGCAAAGCTTTCATTTAGAATGGAAGGACAGATAAAGTGCTTCTCAGATAAGATCAAATTCAAGGAGTTCATCATCACCAAGCCCTTATTATATGAAATGTTAAAGGGACTTACCTAAGAAAAAGAAGATAAAAAAGATGAACAGTGAAAGGACAGCAAACTCACAGTTATTAACAACCACACCTAAAACAAAAGCAAACTAAGAGGACAGCTAGATCAGGATCAGAACCATAGAAATGAAGATCACATGGAGGGTTAGCAATAGGGGAGTGGGAGGAGGAGAAGGGGGGAAAAGGTACAGAAAATAAGTAGCATAGACAGTAGATAGAAAATAGATAGGGGGAGGGCAGGAATAGTAGGGGAAATATAGAATCTAAAGGACTTGAGACACATGGTCATAAACTAAAGGGGGGAATGGTGGGGGAGGGGGTGTGCAGGGGGGGAATGGTGGGGGAGGGGGTGTGCAGGGGGAGGGGAATGAAGGGGGGAAAATAGAACAACTGTAATGGCATAATCAATAAAATATATTTAAAAAATATTTATTAGATATTGAAGGTATCAAGTTTACTTTACCTAGCCATTCCCTGTGTTTAAAAAAAATTTTTAAGAAACAAAATAAGTACACATCAAACATGGAACATTGTATAATACTTTTTCTTCAAAGGGATCAAAGAAAAATCTGAAAAGTCACCTACTAACACATCTGAGCCAAAAGCAAAACTTCAATGCTGGTCCGTCTACACTAGTCAGTCCAAATGGATGAGAGTTTTCTGTTCCCTCCAAATCTATTCTGTCTCACCATCCCTCTATCGTTTACCAGATTCAGACCCTTACTTACTCTCATCTGGACTATTCAAGGAGCCTCTGACCTCATTTCACTCACTCTGCTCTCTTCCTTTTACCATGTACCCTCCATACTACTGACAACGCAGTTTTCATAAGTAAATCTATGAATGGATAAACAAAATGCTGACATATACAACCAAATATTACTTATCCTTAAAAGGGAATGAAATGCTGACATATGCTACAACATGGATAAACATTGAAGATACTGTACCGAGTGAAATAAGTCAGACACTCGAGGACAAATATTACATGATTCCCCTTATATAAGATTCCTAGAAAAGGCTAACTCATGGAGACAGCAGACGGTGGTTACCAGGGGTTGGGGAGGGAGAGGATGATGGGAGTTTCTGTTTAAAGAATACAGAGTTTATATTTGAGGTAATACAAAAGTTCTGGAGACATGGTGATGGTTGCAAAGAAAACATTGTGAATGTACTTGATACCACTGAATCATATACTTATGTTAGTATATTTTAACACAATAAAACAAAAATTTTAAATGGAAAATGGGTCCTATCATCTGGTACAGAAGTGATTACCATTTACAGAATAAAGTCCCAACTCTTTGGTATGATAATAATAATCTTTCAGAATCAAGCTCCAGATTAGCTTTCCAAGATTATCTTTGGCACATCTACACCACAGAGATATCTTTCAATCATACTGGCAAAGTAAGGGTCCTTGAACCTGAACCTTACCTTGTTCCTCTGTTCTTAGGCCCTTTCATCCAGTGTTTTGCACCCAGAGGCAGCCTGACTAATGGTTGATACCCAGAGAGGTTATTATTTTCAATAGGCACTCATTTGGAACTAGAGGTTCTTGGATTGACAAATTAAACTGTAAATAATAGGGCTAACAACTAGAACCCTGCTCGGAACTCAAGACCAAGCCTGGTAAAGCATGCAAATCTTAGAGATTGTATAAGTAATGATTGTTTTTTTCCTATAAATGCATAAAACTTTTACTATTATTATTATTTATTTATTATTTACTATTATCTGACCCGAAGCATTCCTGTCTCACAGTCATAATATAGTGCAGTGGCTCTGAAGGGAGAATTGCATTTCCACCTCCCACTAGCTGTGTGGCCTCGAGCAGATTTTTTAACTGTTCTGTGACTTTGTTTCCGTGTCTACAAAACGAAATGATTGACAGTACAACTACTTAGGTTTGTTGTAAACGTTAAATAAAGTAATTTAGGTACTATATTTAGCACCATGCTCAATAAATGTTAGCTAACATTATTAATATTTGTGTTTACATTTGTTTTCAGACATTGTTCTTTTAGATTACCAGCGACTTTTGCTCTCATCATTCCAATAGCTTAATATTTAAAGGCTTGCCCCTTCTCCCCCATCATGCTAATTAATCTTCTCTTCAAGAAACAGGTTAAGCAATTTCCTGACCATGAAAATGTCTGCTTATGTCCTAGTGCCCCAGTGCTCAACAATGCAACCCTCTCTAATACTCCCTTAGCACAATTGAATCTTGTGTTGCCTTGTTTTGTTTTGCACCTTAGACCTTTTCTTTCCCTCTCCTATAGAGAGGTTTCATTGCCCTAGCTCACTGCACCCCAGTCGACAGAGTATTGGTCTATAGGGGTCTGTTAATGACAAAGCTGTGAAGTGCCTAACATAGCATTGCTTGCAACTACAATTGTAATAAGTGCTTCTTTACCACAAGCAATAAACAGGTTGTACTGTTACATGCAGGTCAAGAGTATGTTTTCCTTTATATTGATTGAAGTTACAACTCTGAACATGATTGTGTTTTATTTAGAAATAAAAACACAGAACAAACTGTTAAAATTTTAAAATCTTAAAGAATTCAGGATTTTAAAAATTATATTTTTTCTTAACCCTGAAGTGGGAAGGAGAGAGAAAAATACACACCTGTTTGATTTAACAATACAAAGAAGTTTACTAACAATCAATACTAACAATTTTAACTGCAGTGCCAGATTTGGGAGCAATCTACTTTAAACTGAAATATGTGTTATTTCAGAAGGCTAAGAAAGCAAGAACAAAATTGCTGACTTCCAGGTTTGAGTCAGGTGGCTTACATCCATTAATTTAACTAATCCTTCCAGTAATCCAACATAATTTTGTCACTGTGTTATTGTTATTCTTCTTATTCCTCTTTACATACAAAAAACAGAGCTCAGAGATACTACACAACTTGCCTAAAAAAGTGATAGAGCTGAGATTTGATTCCGGGTTTGTGGCTCTCATTCATATACAGAAAGAAGCCCTGAAAACATTCTTGGTCCACCACCCAGCACTAGCTTTCATGCTGTGCCATGTACAGATCACATAGGCTGGTGACAGCATGATGGTGGCAAAGCGCTTTTCCAGGGTTTCCTTCCCAGGCACCCACTCTCCCAAAGACCTCAGCTCTGTCTCTTTAAGAGGAAACATTGAGATGTAAACTATTGCCCTAAAAGATGCTGTGCTCTTGAACTCTGAATTACAGGAGCACTGGGAGCGCCGTTTTTCTTGGAAGACCCAGCAAACCAGTTCCTACGTTTCAAAAGACACATATATTTGCAGGATTACTGGGAACCAGAGCACAGTCTGAAAACGTGGAAAAACACACTGGCTGATCAGGTATTTGCATTAGAAACAAATGGTCCTTCAGCAACTACCTTTTTATTAGTTTTTTGTTTTTGTAGCATATTAAACATGATTTTTATTTGTGATCTTCCATGTTGGGATAGTTCTTACATAGATTTATTTTTTACTGTTTATTTATTTTATTTTTTTATCGTTTTTCAGTTACAGTTGTCCCGCCTTTTTCCCCATTTCTCTCCCCTATTCTGTCCTCCGGACCCCGCCCCCTCCCGCTCCCACCACAACCATCTTTTTAAATAGGCATCAGGCATCACATCAGCTAGCCCAGCCCTGACTTTTCCTATCCTTCTGCCATGAGCTATGCCTGCCCATTCTTCTCAATAAAGTGCCTTTTGCAAACGTTCCCTCTTTCTGAAGCCTTTCCCAGCTTTCTAGGGAGGTGTTTGCCCTTCCTTCTCCTCTCCCTTTGTATGCTGTTTGAATGTGAATAGCTCACAAACCGTCACACTGGAATTATTTTTGTGCACCCAACCTCCCTACCTAGGCTGCAAAGGTAAAGGTCATGTCTTATACATCATTCTCAGGAGCTACTAAAATGACTGTTATGTAGTCAAGTCTCAGTGAATGATTCCATGTTTGGGCGAGTGAGTAGATGGATCACGGTCATTTCAGTTCCCTCTAACCTGTTCAGCAGCTACTTTCCTTCCATGACAATTATCCAGTCTTTAAAGTCATTTCGTTTCCTCTCCTTTTGTACATCTTCCTATTCATTTGTATTCTCACTCCAAGAGAAATAAAGAAGAAACTTTATTTTTAAAATATACTTTATTGATTATGTTATTACAGTTGTCCCATTTCCCCCCTCATTCCTCTCCACCCAGCACACCGTCTCCCTCCCACATTCCCCCTTTTAGTTCATGTCCATGTGTCTTAAGTTCTTTAGCTTTTACATTTCCCATACTATTATTGCCCTTCCCCTGTCTATTTTCTGCCTGCCATCTATGCTACTTATTCTCTGTACCTTCTCCCCCCTCTCCTCCTCCCACTCCCCTGTTGCTAACCCTCCATGTGATCTTCATTTCTGTGGTTCTATTCCTCTTCTAGTTGTTTCCTGAGTTTGTTTTTATTTTAGGTGTGGTTGTTGGTAGTTGTGAGTTTGCTGTCATTTTAATATACATGTTTTTTATCTTCTTTTTTTAGATAAGTTCCTTTAATATTTCATAAAATAAGGGCTTGGTGATGGTGAACTCCTTGAACTTGACCTTATCTGAGAAGCACTTTATATGCCCTTCCATTCTCAATGAAAGCTTTGCTGGATAGAGCAATCTTGGATGTAGGTCTTTGGATTTCATGACTTGGAATACTTCTTTCCAACCCCTTCTTGCCTGCAAGGTCTCTTTTGAGAAATCAGCTGACAGTCTTATGGGAAGTCTTTTGTAAGTTACTGTCTCCTTATCTCTTGCTGCTTCTAGGATTCTCTCCTTCAGTTTAATCTTGGCTAATATAATTATGATGTGCCTTATTATGTTCTTCCTTGGGTCCAACTTCTTTGGGACTCTCTGAGCTTCCTGGATTTTCTGAAGTCTATTTCCTTTGCCAGATTGCGGAAGTTCTCCTTTATTATTTGTTCAAATAAGTTTTCCACTTGTTGCTCTCTTCCCCTTCTGGTACCCCTATAATTCGGATGTTGGAACATTTAAAAATGTCCTGGAGGTTCCTAAGCCTCTCCTCGTTTTTTTTTGAATTCTTGTTTCTTCATTCTGTTCTAGCTGAATGTTTCTTTCTTCCTTTGGTCCACTCCATTAATTTGAGTCCCAGTTTCCTTTCCATCACTATTGGTTCCCTGTGTATTTTCCTTCATTTCACTTAGGTTAGCCTTCATTTGTTCATCTAATTTGTGACTAAAATCAACCAGATCCGAGAGTAACCTGAACACCAGTGCTTTGAACTGTGCATCTGATAGGTTGTCACTATCTCTTAGTTGCATAGAAGTATTGGCTCTGGGGCTTTGAGCTGTTTTTCTGCTTGAGCCACAATGTTTTGGTCTGTTGGTGCCTGTCACATATGAGGGGCAGAGCCTTAGGTGTTCACCAGGGTGGCGCAACCTAGTTGCTGGATTATGATGCTGTATGTGAGGGTGGGGTCTGAGAGGGAAAAAATGGTGCTTGGCTCTGCTCTCTGTTGTACCCCAGTCCCTTCCGCCTCTTCTCCCAAGCAAACTGGGCCTTTCTGGTGCTGATTCCCATGTGGGTGGGCTTGTGTGCATTCTAAGACCCTGTGTGTTTCTCCAACGAACTTTCCTTTGCGGGAGTCTCTCCCTGCCTCAACCCCTGCAAGTGTTTTTAATCAGTGTTTTGAGGCTTTATTTCCCAGCGCTAGAACCCTGGGTTGAGTGATCTGTCTCGCTCCTCAGTTAGCTGCCTGTGAATGTGGGACCACTGCCTAATCAGCCAACCACCTTGCACAAGGTGCCCATTTCTCAATCACTGCCTCACTGGGTCTGCCAGCCGTCACCTGGGTGCCCAGGGTCTGCCCGGTGCCACCTTGCATGCCCAGGGTGCTTTGCTCACCCGGTGTCACTGCTTCCTGTGCTGCAACCCCTCTCCGCTGGGCTGCCCAACTCCGCCCCACCTACAGGTCTGGATGAATGTGTGTATTTTAACTCCTTGGTTGTCGGACTTCCATACAGTTCAATTTTCTTTCAGTTTTGGTTGTTACTTTGTTTCTGAATTGTCGTTGCCTTATTTTTGTTGTTCGAGGAAGCACAGTGTGTCTACCTATGCCTCCATCTTGGCCACAAGTCCTATGAGTTCAACAAGAAACTTTAATTCACCACTTTTATTTCATTATTTTGATTGAAAAACTCTTTCAAACTCCAGGCCAAATGAAATTGCTAAATTATCTAAGGATTTCAGTCAGTAATGATTTCCCTGTTAAAATGGCAATTTAGAAAACAAAGGTGTATAACAATTAATTAATTCCTACACTGATCTGTTCTTTCTTTCCCCGTGTATTTGGCTCTCGGTACAACAAAGTATAAGGGTTAAATAAAATTACTTTAAAAATTAAGTTTCCTTGTTTTCTTGGAGCCTGAGGCCTGTCCTTTCTCTGCATAGCTGGCTTTTAACTGGTCTAGCAGGGTTGGCTTAGTTCGGCTTAGTGCTTGCTGATGGCAACCACCAGCTTGAATAATGCATCTAACTCTTAGCCTAATTTTCTCCAACAGGCATAATTTAGAGGTATTAAAACAAGACTTTGTTTATTTGGCAAATAAAAGAATTACATAGACTGGAAGACTGTGTCTTCTTTAGGGAATATTCAAATTTTCAGCTACACTCCTTTCTGTAATCATGGACCAGGGCTGCAGTCTGCTCACAGATGCTGTGGTGTCACAAGACGCTACCACCTCAGTTCATACCCTGGCCCCACAGATGCTGCGAAATTTCTCAGCAGTGAAATAAACAGACTACTAAATGCGTTGAAAACCAAACCTTAATCAGAATTATTCTTCCATTGTATTTGTTCCAATCTTTTAGGCAAATATTTGTACGATACTCAGAATAACTGATACAGAGTGTGTTCTACACACTCAGAAATCACAATTTGAGTTTCCTTGTATTGCAGGCTTATGAAACATGGAGGGCTTTGAGAACAACAGCACAGTATTATCTGAGTGGGAACACCTTCACCTCTGACACGTCTACCGCCCGGTAAATGTGCTTTGCTGGTTAAGCCAGGACAACAAGAATGGTGGGAGTGAGCGCGGCAGTGCACCAAAGCCAAGGGCTCCAGCAAGCTGAAGGCCAATGCTCGTCCTTTACTAGATTATTTATTATGTCTGTCGCATAGAGGTGTTGAACAAAAGTAAATATAAAAATTCATCTGTTACCTAGAATTTGAAGCTTTCCATAAATGGTAGATAACATAAGAACTAAAATAAAAAAGACTATAGTACAAGAAAGTAATAACATTTACCAAAGAGGGCTTTTATGGAAAAATAAACTTTTTTTAAAGCAGTGTCATTAAAACTCTCTGTTCATAGCCATTGCTTTCTATTGCCTCTTCTTTGTTAGTTTACGTTTTAATTTAAAAAAGAGGGATTTCTCAAATGGAGCTGGCCCTCTTCTCTTTTCTTTAATATTTGTCACTGATTAAAGCCAGTTTGTTTTAAGACCCCACTCTGAAAATTTTTTCATCAAAAGTGTATTGCTGGGGCCAGTAGAGAGTAAAATCTTAACTCATATTGGGGAGTGGTTGATGACTAGGAACCCACTGAAAGCCACTCATCTATGATGTAAACTTCCTCAGCAGTTTTTTAAATCATTGCCTGAGAATATGTTTATTGATTTTAGAGGCAGAGAAGGAGAGAGAGAGAAAGAGGGAAACTTTAAAGTGAGAAAGAAACATTGTTTGGTTGCCTCCTGTATGCACTCTGACCAGGCATTGAACCCACAGTTGAACCAGCTACATGCTCTGATGGGGAATCGGACTCACAACTGTTTGGCCCATGGAATGAATGCTCCAACCAACGGAGCCACCTGGCTTAGTTTTCCTCAGAAGTATTATAAAATGTACGCAAGTTTGCTTCCTAGTTCATAATATATTATTGATGCTTATTTTAATATGAAATAACAAATTTAACTTACTGGCCAGGGATATTTATTAATCTTTTGTGAAACTGAAAAATTGACTCGAAAGAAATGTGTACTATACTTATCCTATAGTTTTCCATATACCCATGGAATGCTACCTCAGTACTGTAGTTTGAGAAATACTCAGGAGATTATACAACCAAATCACTAAGACTGCCCCACCCCAAATCACAGATAAGTAAAATTTTTGTATGTTTTTCTTTATAGACCTAGGTCCATTGTCCTCTGAGTGGGGAGGGGATTTATTTGGTAAATGGAAGCATTCCCTGTAAGACCACAATTGGCCTCATGTGTTCTTACAATAGTCTCACACACTTTTTCAGGAGTGGGTCTATCAGTAACATAAGATGCCAAGAAGATGCTCTTCTCCAAGAGGATACTGGCAGCTATTAAGTATTCCAGTTCTTATTCCATCCCCTAGAAATGTTTTCAGTGAGAAATTAAAAGTTACTGCATGATTGATTACATTAACTGTTATCTACTTTCAATACAAAGAAACTGGCTTTTTATTAGTAGTTTATTGTATTTTTTCCATTACCATTTATCCCCTTTATACCCTCTTCCACCTCCATTCACATCCTCCTCCCAACAATCACCACACTGTTGTCTGTCCATGAGTCCTTCTTCCTCTTTTGCCAGCTCCTATCACCCCCCAACACACACACACACACACCCTACCGGGCAGAGCTGTCAGCCAGCTCTCCAGGAGTCTGCCAATATTTTGCTTGTTAGCACAGTTTGTTCATTAGATGCCACATATGAGTGAAATCACATGGTATTTGTCTTCTTCTGACTGGCTTATTTCATTTAGAATAATGTTCTCCAGGTTTATCCATGCTGTCACAACAGAGATTTCAAACACAATTAAATGGACAAAATAAAGAAGGTGAATCATTTCATTTTGCATTAAGAAAAGTTTGAGATTATATATAAATGTATCATCAGTGTTTCAACAATAATATACATTTTACTATCACAATGTTCTACTCTTTGATTATTTACTGTGAAACTAGAGAATGCCCGGGCATGGGTCAGGGTTCTCCAGATAATCAGAATCAATAAGATGTATGTGTGTGCATGCATATATAAAGAGATTTATTTTAAGGAACTGGCTCATGCAATTAAGAAGGCTGTCAAAGTCCAAAAACTGCAGGGTGTGTTGGCAGGCTGAAGACAAGAGAAGAACCAGGTTGCAGTTCAAGTCCAAAGGCCGCAGGCCGAAGATTTAGAAAAGAGCCAGTGTAGCAGTTCAATTTCTAAGATCATCTCCTAGCACAATCTTCTCTTGCTCAGGAATTCAGTCCCTTTGTTTTATTCAGGCCCTCAGCTGATTGGATGAGGCCCACCCACATCACAGAGGGCAATTTGCTTTACTCAAAGTCCACCATAAATTGTGATTATGTGATTTGTAATCACATCAAATGTGATTCTTGTCCAAAAACATCTGTATGGTAACATCCAGAACAATGTTTGACCACATATCTGGGCACAGGAGCCCAGCCAGGTTGACACACAAAATGAACTATTACAACCTGCTTAAAGTTCTTCAGATAGTTTATTCACACACACATACAGATATACATGCAATATGCACAAACTCACACAGCTGTGGTTGGAACAACGCAGAGTGGAAAAAAAGGAAAAAGATTTTAATTAACCTTTTCAGTATAGTACAAGAAAGAAGTTTAGTGGAGTATGGGCCCTTAATAATGTAAAATTGTAAGTGAGCTGCTAGGTTGATTTTGATTTAAGTAACATGGAAAAGCAACTCTGCTATTAGGTGGTTATCTGGCCAAACAAGCGTGGAAAGGAGGTTTCTTGTTCAAACATAATTCCATGGAAAATTTATATAATACCAGAAAACAAACAAACAGTGTGGGGACTGGTTGAAAAAGGTGAAGGGATTATGAACATTAAAAATAGCAAAATACATAAATAAATAAATAGAAAACAAACAAAACAAAGCAACAAACAAAATAGCTCAGGTCTACATAAAATAATTTATCTGGACATTCAGTTAACTTCAACATAGCTGAGCAAAAAGTGGTGACTATTCAGTTTTTCAGATAGAATTTATAAAAGCCAGGTACCACATATTTGTTGCTTATATGCAAAATCAGCTGGGACCAGAATAACTCTGAATTTAGTCTTTGAGGAAATTGATTGTATTGAGGTACCAATTATCTAGATAGTTACCTCCACTTAAATTATTACTTTCAAAATGGTATATGGGATGACATAATTGATTTTTTTCAGACAGGAGTTCTAATTTTGTTTTAATCTGTACCTAGTATGTAAACCTATGTAAGAGTCTTGCTATGTGAAGACTAAAGACTTTTTAACATTTTTAAGAGCCCTTAACAAACGTTGCCAATCTGGACCATATTAGGAAACAGAGAGAGGATCAGAGACTGACCCTTCCCTTCACTTACTTCTGGAGACTCTAACGACCTCTGCAGCTGGGATGTCCACATGTTCTACTGCAGCATGAATATCATAACTACTGTGGTGACTCTGAATTCTTCTGAAGTAGGTTGCCATTCTAAAATCTAAAGCAAACCATTTGGATTTGCCTTCCCTGTGGGATTGATTAAATAGTCCCACTATTTAAGTAGAATTGACTGGTAATGATGAAGGTAAAGACTTCCCTGAGATTTTGCTGCAAATTTAAGGCTCACTAGAACCACTCTTCTTATTACATAAACACCATTCTGCTAAGTTTTCTGCATTTTTATGGAAGCATTAAAAAATATACCAAATATCAGGCTGACTTCTTATTATAGTATCTTGGACATTCTATCCTCTAGAATTGTTGTAAAGGTGGTTCATACGGTTTCCATGCTAAATAAGTCCAAAGAAACAATTTTGTGTCTTCCTTCAATGAGATTCATAAGAAGCACAGTTCTAGTCTTGTTATATGAGGTCTGTCCAGAAAAAGTATAGCCATTGCTAATATAATGAGAATGGTTTGCACAACATCAATGTAACAATGCTAGCCAAGGAGAGTGAACTGGAATGTGCACATGTGAGCAGTGATGACTTCGCTGTACTAGTCTGTGGGGGCAGTAGAGGCTGTTGAATGAGCATGTGCACTGTGTGGCCAACACATTCAAAATGACTGAGTGAGGAGAGCGATGAATATGCATCAAATTTTGCATTAAGCTAGAATATTCCTCCACAGGAATTATTCAGATGATTCAGAAGACCGAAGCTGTGGGCAACTGGTGACTGGCAGCTTCATCACAGTGCATCCACTCATGCATTATATCTTGTGCAGAGGGTTTTTTTTAGCAAAACATAAAATCACCCAGGTGTCTCAGCCCCCGTAGAGCCCAGAGTTTATACCTTGTGACCTCTGGCTTTTCCCAACAGTAAAGTCACCTTTGAAAGGAAGAGATTTCAGAGACTGTTGATAAGATTCAGGAAAATATGATACAGCAGCTGATGGCAATAGGGAAAACTGAGTGAGGTCCCCAGGTGCCTACTTTGAAGGGGACTGAGATGTCATTGTCCTGTGTGCAGTGTTTCTTGTATCTTGTATCTTCTTCAATAAATGTCTCTGTTTTTCATAATATGTGGCTGGATACTTTCTGGACAGGCCTTGTATATCTTGCTCAAAAACTTAATTCTAAAAAAATTGACTCAGAGAGGAGAAAATAACATTTATTAGGATATTATAGACTTTGCTGTGCACTATACTAGTTACTTTATACACTTTATCTTATTGAATATCATAATATTCTAACAAAGAAGGTCTTATAAGACCCATTGTACAGATAAATATTAAGGCTTAGGTAGATTACATTAATACAGCTAACTAAAGTTCTGTCTAAAACAGCACTTAGAATGTCTAAACCTATATCCTGGCTTCACCGATGCTAGCTGTGCAATCTTGTGCATGTCGTTTAGCTCTCTGGGTCTGTTTCCTCTCCTGTATTATGAGAATGATTGGATCTACTTAATGAGAGAGATGCATAAGATAATACACATAAAGCAATTAGAACAGTGCCAGGTAGGTAAGTAAACAACTGATTAAAAGTTAGCTGTCATTATCAGCTTGCCTAAGTTTATATGAAAATCCATGCTCTTTTCTCAGTATCACAGTTGGCTCCAGAACTCAAAGCTCCCCATGATCTGGTCCCTTTACTATTAGTTCATCTACTCTCCTCAAATATTCTTGATACCTTGCATCATTGCTTGACTCATTTATTCTGTTATTTAACAAACACTGTTGCCAGTTTTCTTTGACCTTGTCAAGGTGGAGATACAAAAGCCATTGAGACACACAGTACCTTCTCCATAGAACTTTCAATTCAGTAAGAAAGATAAACATCCACTGTGTTAGATGAATTACAGAGATTTAAATTGCAAATTGTGTGTGCACAGTGGCTAGACACCTTACTCAGTCTGGGGGAGTCAGGGGAGTCAGGCCAGCCTCCCCTGAGGAGGTGTTAGGCTTCAAAGGATGCATAACAGTAATATATGCAATCACTATAATTACAACCTTTCTATTTATTATAGTCTATTTTATACCAACAATATATTTTTATACTATTACTGCAGTATATATTTTATTATTACAATATAAACATTTTAAGGGCAGGTTTTACCTGAGATTTATATTAGCAACTCCAACAATATCAAGGACAACGCTTGATATGCAGCAAGAATTTGTTGAATAAATGAATGCTGTTGAGAAGAGTGACTGTCAGAGAGGTAGGTGGTATTCCTAAAATTTTCCTCTTATCCTTTGCTATAGATAGAATGCTTGTGTGCCCCCTGCAAATTCATATATTATAATCAAATCTCCAATATAATAGTATTTGAAGGTGGGACTTTGGGAGGGTGATTAAGTCTTGAGAATGGAGGCCTCCTGAATGAGATTAATACGCTTAGAAGAGAGACCCCCCACGGAGCTCTGTAGCCCCTTCTGCTATGTAAAGACACAGCAAGAAGAGAGCTGTCTATGAACCAGAAGCGCGTCTCAGCCAACACCAAGTCTACCCAGCCCTTGATCTTAGACTTCCAGCGCCCAGAACCGTGAGAAATAAATGTCTGTTGTTTCTAAGCTATCCAGCTGCTGGTGTTCTGTTACAGCAACCTAAATAGACTAAGGCACCTTCTTACATCAGTGACAGGTCAAGCAAGCAAGATGCAACATAATTTATCCACATGTTGTCCAGTGAATCAATAACAGAATTGAATAAGAACTCAATTTTTTCACTCCTGGTCTTTAGTTTCATCCACACAGCAGACCCAATCTCAAAAGACATCCATCCTCCTGGGCTAGTTCATTACAATTTAAATAGGATAACTGATAGCTGGGAATACTGTACATATAGAACAAATTAAAACTAAAGGTATTTATTTTCATGGATTGATCATACTTATTCCACTCATTTTCCTCAGATTGATCTAAAACATTTCAGGCAACTGAACCAGACAGAGAATATATATATCTCACACTGTTATCGACAACGATAGTGACAGGCTGAATGAATTTTATTGAAAGTAATATAGCATTGACTGGTTAGATATACAAATTACTCATCTGAAGCAGGTACGTTGCCAGACTCTTTCAAATCAGAGACAAAAAAATAAATGTTTGGAGATTACATCACAAATTAAAACTATCTTGGAAGGCAGTTCGAATATAAAAAGGAAATAATTATTTAAATTCAAAATATTTTATTTCACTCATGGCAGTGACAAAAGCAGCTGCATTTTCACCTTCTGATCATAATGTTAGAAAAGAAGCTAATTATTTTTTAGCAGACAATTTCGGGAAAGGTATGCCTTCTTAGCCCTACCCTTTTGACTCCAACAAAAGTAAATTTAAAGAGGTTCTTTGATTGTCTTTAAACCAGGTAGTAACTATACAGACAGGAAAAATTAACTTGTAGTATAGTTGAAATTCTTAATAGCTTTAAATACAATACAGAGACCCTCCAACGTTTTTTTCCCAAGATGCTTAATGTTTAACTCCTGGTTCTGTCGTTTCTCAGAAGGAAGGGAGGAATGTAGCCTGGTACTTAAGAATGTGGCCTCAGTTACCTGGCTGGCATTGTCTGCCTGGGCGTGTCGCTGAGTGCTGCTATGGCTGAGGTTCTCACCTGTGAACTGAAGGTGGCAGAAGCTCTGACCTCAACCTTGGAGGGTAGAATGAAGCTTATGTGAGATGAACTTCTGGCACATAATAGATCCTCCACAAATACTTTGTAGTAATGGGATGCACAGATTTCCTCTTCAGTTTCAAAAATAGATTTCACTGTCAGGAGAATTCTTCACCTTAAAAACACAAAAGAGCTACTTGTTTTTGTTTTGTTTTGTTTTAAATCTAGAAATATACTTGATTGTGATATGTAATGTTGCAAAAATTCCAACCAGAAGACCCAGTCAACAATTTTATTTTATCACCCGAATTGCTTTTTTTGATTCACATGCCACTGCAGATCATTTTTCCTTAATGCAGCTCTTGGAGGAGTGACCAGGAATGAGAGGCTGAAAAAATGAATCAGAGGCGAATTACCAAAAACTGTTTAGACTTCACTCTGCATGTAATGAGGACCATTGAAGGATTTGCTTTGAAGAAGTAACTTGAATAGCTGTACATTAAAATGACACCAAGCCACTGGTGTCATTGTCAGAGAGTATTTGGAGGAAGGCCAAATGAGAGGCTGAGAAGTGAGTTTTCTCCTGTCTTCCAAGGTTTCAGGTGATTGATCTGACAAAATAACGAATGCTGCAGTGTTAATAGAAAATTGTTCATAGAAAATCCATTTCTTCCTCTAGGTAATGTGTATTATAATGGTTGATCATTGGAGATAATTTTCTTCTTTCCCTTAGCAACTAAAGAAGATATTTGGAAGCATATTGGGCTGCCTTCTAAAGATTTTCTTGAAATCTTAAAGAGGACAGGTTATAAAAGAGCCCATTGCCATAATTAAAAACAAAACAAAACAGAAAGATTCAGTTTTATACGTACCAGTCTAGAAGTGCCGTACAAAGTTACATTTGGCAAGATATCCCAAGTGTCTTTTTCTCATTTGCTCCAACTGAACAATGGTATAAACAAAACAAAACAACAGCAAAAAAAAAAAATTGCTATTTGAAAAGGCTTATATAAACTGCCCTGAGTGTGGCTTAGTGGTTTGAGCACCAAACTGTGAAGCAAAGGGTCACCAGTTCAATTCCCAATTGCAGGCCAGGTCCCCAGAAGGGGGTGCATGAGAGGCAACCACACATTGATGTTTCTCTCCCTTTCTTTTTCCCTTCCTTCTCCTCTCTCTAAAAATAAATAAATAAAACATTAAAAAATAAAGTAAAAATAAAAGGCCTATAACCGATAAGGGAGAGCACAGAGTCAAAGATGATATCAGAGTTTCAGGCATGGGTATCAGGGTACTGAAGTCTTCAAAACGGAAAGAGAGATGAGCGGGAAAATATGACAGGTTCATGACATCAGAAGACGATGTGTTCAGTTTCAAACATTTGATTTCGTGCTCCATTTTCATTTCATCCTACTCTCTATGCAGGTCATGTTATGCATTAACACAGGTGTTAGATGTGGGAAGTTATGAAGCCACTTTCTAATTGAAGATTTTCATGGTGAAAAAGAAAATCAGCTAGTGCTGCTTTACATGATAAAAAGCAAAACAGGCAAGACATCAAACAAGTAAAACACAAAAACAAAAATCTCATCATATTTGATAAATCATAAAATGCTGTCCCCACCTTTTCCTTTTGTCTCTCATTTCACTAGTAATTAATTTCGGAAAATCTAATAATACACAAGACAATTAATAGAGATTCTATTATTTTCCTGTTTACAAGAAAATTTTATTTTAAAATAATAATTTCCTGTAAAACAGTAAAATTTTACATAATTCTTTATCTGACCAATCATAATTGACATCCTTTCATGCAATTCTTTTTTATCTTAAATGCATACTGTTAAGTTAAAGAAGCAAGTCTGAAAAGAATACAAATTTTATGATTACGGCTATATGACATTCTGGAAAAAGCAAAACTATAGAAAGAACAAAAAGATCCATGGTTGCTAGGGGTTTGAGGGCAGGAAAAGATAAAGAGAAGAAGCACAGGGAATCCTTAGAGGGTCAAACTGTTCCATATAATATTGTAACGGTGGATACATAGCATTGTGCATTTGTCAAAGCACACAGAACTATACAGAGTGAACACAGAGTGAACCTTAGTGTAAACTGTGTACTTTAGTTCATAAGAATGTATTAATATTGGTTCATTAGTTGTAACAAATGTACTACACTAATGCAAAATGTTTTGTTAAATTATTTTTTAAAATTGTTGTTCAAGTACAGTTTTCTGTCTTTTCCTCCCTAATGCAAAATGTTAATAGGGGAGATTGCGTATGTACAAGTGGTGGTACATGGAAACCCCAAGTACTATCTCCACAATTTTCTGTAAATCTAAAACTGTTCTAACAAATACAGTCTATTCTTTTTAAAAAATATTTTATTTATTCATTTTCAGAGAGAGGGGAAGGGAAGGAGAGAGGGAGAGAAATATCAATGTGTGGTTGCCTCTCATGTGTCCCCCACTGGGAACTGGCCTGCAACCCAGGCATGTGCCCCGACTGGGAATTGAACCACAATCCTTTGTTTCACAGGCCTGCGCACAATCCACTGAGCTACACCAGCCAGGGCAGTCTATTCTTTTTTAA